TGTGGCTTGTAGAGAATTTCCGACATGGTCCGCGTCCGCAAGCTAGTGACTTTACATTTATTAGCACCTATTATGCTAGAGCAAACTTGAATTATAAAGGAAGCACATGAGATTGTGCACCTCCTGTGCACATTCTTGGAGTAGTTTTTGTGCTCACTGAACGCTGGCAGCATTAACTGCTACCCCAGGGTAAATTATCGCAGGTACGTAGGTGTCGTTTTCTTCTTTTTCTACCTTTTCAAAGTCAGCTGCAAACTACAGACCACGATGATCACCACAATTAATATCTGAGATGGCGTCAAGAAATCTGCTATTAAAAGCTACTATAAATATGCTCGAAAACGATTTCTCTATAATTTATTTTTTAGAGTTAAGGGGACGAGCTAATGGAATGTTCCTGAATGAAAAAATTGGATTTCGAGCCAATTTGTTGGCTGTACACTTAATTTCTTTGATCTGATACAGACTGGTTTCGTCTCACCCTCGACGCCTCTCAGATTGCGACTGTGATGCGATGGTGTTCACCTGTAGTGAATTGTATGTTAGTTGGCTGGAGGGCGTTCATCGAGAGCAACAGTTCCAGAGCAGGAAGTACTTGCAGCTGCGTTGACACTTACGTCGATAACAAATGCCGATCTCTTTCCGCCTTACGAGGCGTTTTAGCTAAATTCTCTGCTTAGGAGTCACGCAATGCAAACACTACAGCCGGATCGGTCCCTCTAGTTTTTGTTTTGTGTCTAAAGGCTGGTGTTGTGCCTTTCCTCGCTTCGGTGATGCTGTACAAGCGAACATTTATATCCATCTATCAGCTCGCTCTCAAATGCTTTAAAAATGCAAACCTCGATTAAAAAACGTTTTAAATATTTCTTAACCCCTTGAACGCGACGGCCTGTATTAGACACGATATCAGAAAAAGCTTATCCTGGACCATACACGATAAGGAATTTTGACTTGACGTTTGTATTGAGGTTTACAAACTTTAAATGAAATAGGGGACGGGGTGCCGGGTTGTCTCACCAAATCTTTTCCCGCTCGAAGTGCGTCTTTCCATTTTCTAAAAATTGAGTCTAAGAGATTTTAGTGTGGTGTGGACTACGTATGACAAATTCTTACAGTCAATAGCTCACACGCCACTCATTTCACTCATTAAAGAATTTGCGCCGAGTCCAAGAGATGTCAGGTTTTCGCGCCCGCTGGGCTGAGCTGAAGAAGGAAGGCTGGTCTTCGAAGAGGCCGGCTGGCCTCTCTGTTGACTTCACATACTTGAAGCCTGGTAAGACCAAGAAGGACACCCGTGGCGTCGATGTTTTCGTCGGAGAAGAGGAATTAATGCGCTACTTAGACCGCATTGATCTTGGTAAGACCTTGAATTATTTTGCATCGCATAATGACAGTCTAACGTGTTATATTGAAACAGAGAAAGCTGCCAAAGAAGCACAGCAGCCTACACTACCAGAAGCAGCCTCTGCTACGACTGCTGAATGCGTTGAGCCTCAGGAAGACGTCGATGCCACGTCTAGCGGTATTGTGATGCTTGGTCTTGAATATACACGATATTCTGCCGGCTAATGATGTATAATACAAACGTGGTACTTACAGCAGTTACGCTACGCGAGGAGAGCAATACAGAAGGTGGTGATCAGCAAAATGAAGACAGCAGAGACACGAATGATGTTGTTGCCCAAAAAACAACGCCAGTCAATGGTATGATGCTGTGTTACC